TGCAGGTGCGGCCGTTTGGCGGGACGGGCACCGGCCGGCCCTTGGCGCCTCCGCGCGCCAGGTGCGCCGAGCGTCACGTGCGGCGCCTCGCGGGTGGCGGCCACGCCTCGCGCACCATTGGGCGGAGGCGGAGTGGGGGGGGGCGGGTGCATGTGTGTGTGTGAGGGGGTGCGCATTGGAGCAAAGACCGGTCCCTATTGGCAGGGGAGCGAGGGCAGCGCGGGCCATCCCATCTCCCATTGGCTGATGGGCTTGCGCCTCCCTTTCCTATTGGCTGTCGGGGCGCAGAGGCGCTGCGGGGGGCACGCGGCCATTACACCGCAGGTGCTGCCCCGCCTTCCCGCCCGCTGGCCCCCACCCTGTCTGCTATTGGCTGGGCGACCTGGGACTCCCTTCACTATTGGCTGGCAGGGAGCAGGGCCCCGCCCCAACACCCTCACCTCAGCTTGGGGCCCGGAGGAGCGATGGCGGTGTCGCGGCCGGGCCTGGGCCTGGGCGGCGGCGTTGGAGCGGCCAGGCCTGGGCAGGCCCAAGGCCAACCGGGTGGGGTGTCTCTTACAGGGAGGCTGCTGGGTGACGCCTCCTTGGTCCTCTCCCCCGCAGGGGCAGCTGTCCCAGCCTTGCCATGGCCCCGGCGGTCTGCAGGACACTCCTGGGCCTGGCCTTGTACACCGGCAGCCTGTGTGCGGCAAGCAGCCCTGCTTTCCTCTACCACGACTACTGCATCATCGGGGCCGGCCCTTCAGGCTTGCAGATGGCCTATTTCCTCCAGCAAGCTGGCCGGGATTACGTGGTCTTCGAGCGGAGCCATGCTCCCGGCAGCTTCTTCGCCCTCTACCCTCGGCACCGCAAGCTCATCAGCATCAACAAGCAGTACACGGGCAAATCCAACAGCGAGTTCAACCTCCGCCACGACTGGAACTCGCTCCTCAGCCACGACCGCCGGCTGCTTTTCCGGCGCTACTCCCGTGACTTCTTCCCCAACGCCGACGTGATGGTGCGTTACCTGGAGGACTTTGCTTCCCTGCTGAAGCTGCAGGTTCAGTACAACACGGCCATTGTCCATGTGACATTGGAGAGGGATGAACAGGCCTGGAATGGCCACTACTTCCTTCTGACAGACCAGGACAGGCAGAACTACAAGTGCAGGTAATGGGCGAACCCGGGGCTAGCCACACCACTCTCCACAGGCGTCTTCGAAATCACAAAATCACAGAATAAATTAGGTTGTAAGAGACCTATAAAGGTCATCTTTTCTAAGTCCCCTGCCTAAAGCAGGGCCAGCGACAGGTTTCTCAGAGCCTTACCCTGAGGCATAAGTATCTTTAAGGATGGGGATTTCTCAGCCTCTTACAGCCTTAACCACTCCCATGGGGGAAAAATATTTTGGAGGGATCAGTGGAGTGGGTGGGTGGAATAACTGCTCCTGGGAAGGCGTTGCCTTTCACAAGCAATGTTATGCCTTGGATAGCTGAGGAGCTGGCAGGGCAGACACAAACTGGCTGTGATTGCCAACACCATAGGTTCCATCCTTGATAGGTAAGCTTGAAATCGCTTTTGTTTTATCACTAGATAATTGCACTCTGTGAGGAAAAAAACTCAATCATACTTGTTGTAGCTGCTGCTGCTGCCCTTATTACAAACTCAGGTGAGTCAGGGCAGCGACACCTCTCCTCTGGTAACCCACATGTGCTTTGCAAGAACTAGTATGTAAAAGTATGTCAGGAGGAAATATATATGTCAGGAAGAAAAGTATATCAGGAAGAAATTTTTTACTATGAGGGTGGTGAGACGCTGGAACAGGTTGCCCAGGGAAGTTGTGGAGGCTTCTCATCCCTGGAAGTGTCCAAGGCCAGGCTGGATGTGGCCTTGAGCAACCTGCTCTAGTGGGAGGTGTCCCTGCCCGTGGCAGGGGGGTTGGAACTTGATGATCTCTAAGGTCCCTTCCAACTCTAACTGTTCTGTGATTCTATGTCCCAGCTGACTGAAGCCCTGTGTTAGCACAGAGCTGACAGAGGGGAACCAGACAAAAGTGGAGCTGTTGCAGTAGAGGGAGCCCACTGTGAGAAGTAGTCCTCAAGGCTGCTGGTCCTTGAATACCCCTTACGCGTGTGTAGCCCGTATCACCACTGAGCTACATTCCTGAAAAACATCTAGAAGTTACTCGTGTGAGCATATGGAGCATATTTCTCACCTCTTCTGAGAACCTCAGCTCTACGACAGCAGGTCGCGCTGGCTGTCGCTTGGAGGTGCGCTGGCTGGCAAGCGCAGAGGGGACAGAAGGCAATCCCAGACACCCACACATCGCGAGTGAGTTGCTCTTGGGAACTGTGTGAGCAAGGCTGGGACGGCAGACAGTGCTGCTAGCCTTGGCTGCCTGGTGCTTCTGCCAGAGTCACAAAAAATTTCCCTAGCATTCAAGTAAAAAGTTGTTACAGAGAGATAGAAAAATATTACTGTAGTTAATTTCAGTGTTAACAATTAGTCTTGTTGGTAACATGTTTTTATGCCTAGGAGTTACATTTTAAAATCTTGAAACCATTTTATCTCCCTCTTAAAAATAACTTTTGTTCCGTTGTATTAAAAGGCAACACTTTTAAATCAAAGTCCTTTTTTTTATGCTGGATATAATCAACCTGTGAATCACTTTGGTATTATAATATATGTTGTCAGTGACTACATATGAGCAGCACTTGCACGCTCACAAACAACTGGGGGAGACTTATGAAACAAGTGGAGCTTATATGTATAGCACCTGCACTGACTTTTGCTGTATATAACTATGTTCCTCTTCATTTTCATTGGCCTGAGGATAGGGAAGACGGGAGCAGGCCATTAGGTGAAGCTGGGGAGAGGTTTCTGGCAAAACCATGACCTGTGCAGCTGATCCAGTGTGGCTGAAGGGGACACGTCCACAGCAGGAGAAGGGAGGAGTGATGAGATGGAGTGATGGCCCCATTCCCCTAATTCTTGCATTCCCTAGTGTTATCCCTCTTTTTTCAGCTCTTTATTGGTCGCCACTGGGACGTGGGTCCCCAACGTGGTAAACTTCCCTGGCTCAGAATATGTTGAGGGTTACGAGACTGTGTCCATCAACCCGGAGGATTTTGCTGGCCAAACTGTGTTGATCTTGGGCCGAGGGAACTCGGCCTTTGAGACAGCAGAGAACATTCTGGGTGTCACAAACTTCATCCACATGGTGAGCCGGTCCCGTGTGCGCCTCTCATGGGCAACCCACTACGTCGGGGATCTGAGGTAGGAAACCATTCCTCTTCCATTTTCTAATGCAGCCAGAGTAAGAACAAAGAGAAGCACTTCTTGCCCAGGCAACAAATCGGGCTGTCACAGGAGATGCTGTCTTCCTGGGCGTCACAGAGGGAACATGAGGCCCTCTATCTTTAGGTTCTATCTTGTTTTAAAGCAGTCCAGGTTGCAGTTGCTGAACACAGGAGCTTGGTGAGAGTTCTTCAGGGTCTGTATCAAATAGGAAAGTGTCCCCTTGGAAACTGGTTCACTAAAAAGTGCTGGCTCCCAAGTTGTTCCCTTGCTTGCAGTCACAGAGGAGAGCTGAGAGGTTGACTATATCCCGCAAAAGCAGCGAGGCTGTGTTACCTGTGCTGTTCCTGTGAGCCCTGAGGCTTTGGGGATAACCTTTGCACTGAAGGGGAGTATGGGATGCCTGGTGAAGGTGTCCCATTTTCAGCAGCTGAGACAGAACCGTGGATCCCACCTCTCCTCCCTTCTTTTTGCCGTTCTTACGTTCTCAGTTTTTTTTGTAGAGCAATTAACAATGGCCTACTGGATACCTACCAGCTGAAATCTCTGGATGGGCTTCTGGAGGGCGACCTGGAAGATCTGGCTATCGTCAAGGACAAGAAAGGGAAGCTGCACATCACGCTCCGGTTCTACCTGGAGAACAGGAACACCAGCGCAGGCATCGACTCCATCACCCTCCCACAGGACGAACTGGATAATTTTGCCACCCGTGCACCTTATGACCGTGTCATCCGCTGCCTGGGCTGGAAGTTTGACTTCTCTATCTACAACAGGTGAGGGAGAACCAGGATTGGTAGTGAAGCGGGTGTTTAGAGCAAGAGACCATGAAGGGCCTGACGAAGAAGGAAAGGGAAGGGTAGGTCCTCTCTTGGCAGCATTGCCTGGACCTCCACATGCTCTGAGCCACCTGGAGCTGCACAGTCCATTGCTGACCCTGCAACTACGGTCGTGGCCCAGTGGGGACATGTGTGCCACTGCCCTCTGACAGACAGGCTCCAGGGCTGAACAAACGGCAGTGTTGTGACCTGAGTGATGCAGAAGAACTTGTTGCCTTTGGAACTTAACGTCCTGACCTGCCAGATCACATGCAGAAGGCCATCAATGTTTTGTGGTTTTGGAGTTTTTTTGGAATGAGGATGGTACAGGTATAGATCACTACAGAAAGGTTTTGTCTGCTTTTTTTTTCCCCCTGAGGATGCAACCTTCATTTTGCCTTGGTTTGTCTCCTAGTACATCCTGCAGTTGAAAATGGTACTGTTAACTTCGCTGTCTTCCAAAATTCACTATCAGTAGCTCTGGTTTGAATTTGATCTTGTGCTGAGGTGCCTTGAGATAAGCACCTTTGTCTTCTGGAAGATCCTCACGGTAGTAGTAAATCCCACTGAAGGCAGTGGGGACATGAAGCAGTGTCTTGCAGTGGCTGCCATATAACATGTGCCTTACCATAAACCCTTTTTATTATATTTCCACCCCTGCCCTTCCTGACAGCCTGCTCTTCTCTTTTGCACATCAGATCCCTTAGAATGATGCCAGGAAAAGGGAATAAAAAGAAGTATCCTCAGATCAAACCTAGTTATGAGTCCAGAAGCACGCGGGGGCTTTTTGTTCTCGGCACAGCTAGCCACTCTGTTGACTTCAGAAAATCTGCTGGGGGCTTTATCCACGGATTCCGGTACACAAGTGAGTACTGGGGGGTACGGAAAGGGCAGAGGTGGGAATTGTTCCTCCCTTCGAAGGCACAATTCATAGCTTACTGCTGGAAAGAGATCACCCTTAGTCTTGGGCCAGCAGTAAGAAGGACAAAACACAGCCGAGCTGCAGCTGTGTTGTCTGAAGTAGAGAAGTGACTTGGGGTCATATCTGAAGTTTTTAGTTGTCTGTCTTTGTTTTGTCTTTTGTCTCTCTTGCCCATTGTTTATTATTTATGTAACAGAAGAGATTTCTGCCTGCCAGATGCTCTGCCTCGTGACAGGGTGTGGGTGAGAGGTCTGTGCTGTGGAGTTAAAACCAAGCAGCTTTGGGCAGTGGAGAGAATTTCCATCTTTATATATGTGTGTGCCCATCCTTATAACTAAAGGACTGCTCAGAAGTAATGAAATATCCCCAAGGACCCCCACCCCCTCGCCAACCACTCAGCATCACATCAGCTTTCAGAGGGCATTTCCACTGCAGTTACCAGCAATCGGGGTGGGAGATCCTGAGCATAGATGAGCTCTAAAGCTTATTTATTGTGTCCTGCCAGAATCTGTCCGTGTCACAGCAGAGTGATCAGATTTCTTAAAAGCGTAAGCTTGGATTTTTAAATAAGCTGTCTTTGTTTCTCTCAATGTCTTAGCTCGTGCAGTCCACCGCCTATTGGAAAACCGTCACCATGGTGTCCCCTGGCCGTCCACAGTCTACCCTATTACACAGCTGACCAATTCCATCATCAAACGGGTGAATGAGGCCTCAGGCCTCTACCAGATGTTCAGTGTCCTGGCTGACATCATCCTGCTGAGAGAGTGAGTGAGTAATTATTCCCAGCACTGCACTCCATAGTTTCATTCCTTTTTTTTTTTAACCATTGCTTCCCGTGGTGCCACCACACAAATTGCTTCATTGCCGCCTAAGGACGTTACTGTCACGTAGGCAGCCACTCCAAAACCTGCACCACTGCCACGGCTGGTGCCAGTATACCCAGTTCCACCAGTTACTTCTCTCTTGAAGGGCTGAAATGGTCCAGACCTTCCTTCTGGGCTTAGAGGTATAGTACCCTTTCACTGTGCCCAGGAAAAAGCTTTCCTTGAGCAGTGCTAATGTAGAGAGGAATCCCATGGTCTGGGGAAATAACTGAGTCTTGTAACAGTATCTGCAGCCTTCATAAGCTCTGTGTCAAGTCCACCCCAGATCTGTAATGACTAAAAATAATTACTATCTGATGGCTCTTTGGACTTAGCCTCAATCAGCTGAGGGGTGTTTGCTCTTCTCTGGTGGAAAAAAAGTCTTGATGGTTGTGGTTGCAATTTGTAGGAATGCCACAACATTTGAATACCTGGAAGAATACCCAGTTGGAGTCCTGGCTGAGCTGGAAACGCAGATGGGGAAAAAGGCTCCCAATGGGCTGTTTGTTATCATCATGGAGTATGGGAGGAATTTCTCTGGGGCTGACAAGGATGTCTTCTACTACAACCGAGCAGTGGGAGAGGCACAGCATGCCTGGCAGTCCAACTTTTTGCACCCTGTTATCTACTACTACAAACACCTCCCAACAGGTGAGCTTTCCTGCCTTTCCCTGCTAATTATCTGATAGGAGCAAAACTGAGAAGGATGAAGATACTTAAGATCCAAGGGTGGGGGGTAGCCTGAAAGCATTGGACATCCTTCTCCTTAACTTCCTTATGTCTGTCCTCTGGGGCACCTGGGAGAAAAAGCTGGGAGTTTGGCAAGAAGTTTCCATCGATCAGACTGATACAGGGTGTGAGGTAGGGGGTTTGTACCAGAGACCTCACACTTGAGGACAGGAACAGACAGGTGTGCTGGGAACTTCCCCATTCTGAAAAAAAAGGAATATTTTTTTTCCCTTTGGCCAGCATCCTGCAAGTAATTTGCAGCATCCTGGCAGATGAGGCTGGGCTGTTCAGGGTTACCCACTGAAAGAAAACTGCTCTCTGGCCTGCCAGGGTTTGAGAGATCACACGGTGATAGAGGCAGCCAGAGGCAAGGGTTTGAAGATGAGTGTTACATCCAGCAAACAAGACATGCTCAGAATAGATTTCCTTGGGAAATGAATGTGCTGAATCTTCATCTCAAGAAACCTAGGGTCAGGGTCCGGCCTGCCTTGCACGGAAAGAATTGTGATGGGGAGCAGCATTAAAGCATGAACGCAGCTCAGCCTGTCTGGCAGTCCCTGCCAAGGGGGAATGGGAGTGAAATAACAGGAAGCACTGTGGACAGGGACAAGGGGCAGCTGTGCAGTGGCAGGGCTGTTGAGGACAAAGCTAGCAGAGGGGATTGCAAATGAAAGTAAGGTAGGGATTAAAAAGGTCAGGACAAAAGCTGGAACAGCTGTCATAGCTGCTTTCCGCTCCCCAAGCTCTTTTTAATGCCATTTCGATTCTGAGAGATTCCCTTAATGTTCTCCTGGCAGAGCGTGAGATGAGACTTCGACCCCCGGACTGGCCTCTCCCCCACCCAGATGCCCTCCATCACATCGTGGAGGACTTCCTGACAGACTGGACGGCCCCCAACGCCCACATCCTGCCCCTGAGGCGGTTTCTGGAGAACTGCCTCGGCACTGACCTGCGCAACTTCTTTGCAGGTAATTCGAGCACAGGGTTGAGGTGGCAGGAGGAGGGATGCGAGGAACAGGCAACAGGAGTGACCTCTTCTGCAAATAGCTGAGCTCTCCCTCGGGTGAGCTGGTGATCTCACCGTCAGTCACACCTCTTTGATGCACTCCCCAGATGGTAAAAAGTGCTGGTGCCACGTGTGCGTTCCCAAATAGCCTTTGGTCTTGCTCACCAGCAGAAAGAGACCGCCTTAGGCACACATGGATTTGGGGAAAGGTGTATGAGGTTTGGTTCAATCCCTTTGCTACCTGCAGCTTTCCTGCCTCCTCCATCATCTGAACATTCCTCTGTGCCCTGGGGTACCAGATCTCTTTTCATGTACTGATGCTGGGATTGCTTTCCCATGGCAAACGGGAATACTGGGATGTGAGAGCTGGTCTGAAGACTGGTCTGGGAACCGCCTGCAGGAACCCAGTGTGGCACAGAGGGGAGCAATCCTGTGGTACGAAGAAGATGCCAGAGGGCTGCAAGCTCACATCTGGCTCCTTTTCCTCTGAGTGCAGACTGGAGATCCCACCCTGTGTCTCCTGAGCTCTGCAGCGTTGAGTCAATTGCCCTGCTGCTATCTGGGGCAGGGTGCCGGCTGGGACACTCCAGTCATCTCCCCTCAGCCTCTCTGCCTTTTGTTCTGAATGAGTCCTTGAAAGTTTGGGGAAGTTATTCTCTGCCAAATCTGATTTTTTGATCCTTTTTTTTTTTTTTCCTGCAGAGTCCTGTTTCCTCTTTGCCTTCACCCGTCAGAAGCTGCCTCCCTTCTGTGGGCAGGGGTACCTCAGAATGCAAGGGCTGGTGGGGAGCGAGGGGCTCCGGCGCCACGCGGTAGAAGCCGGCCTGCTGCAGGATTACACTCCCAGTGACTTTTCGGGCGACAAAGCTCCCGACAGCCCTGAAGGGTCACAGGACCAGCTGCTGCGAGACCACGTGATACCGCTTCGTCCGCTGCAGCACCTTGTTAATGCCAAGGATGAACTTTAAACCTTTCTCGCTCCACGCTGAGACCCACAGGTGCTGTCGTGACAATATTGTAACAGAGATCCACAGCAGGATTCTGCCCTTTCCTGTGCACCTTGTCCATCCCCATGCCTTCCACTGATCGTGAGTTGCCAAAGACCTGCTGGGATGTTGCTGTTACAAAGAGGAGCAACGTGCTCCGCAGGATAAGTGAGGGCCAGAGTCCGGTGACGCCTTGCCCTGGCAGAGCTCACGCTTTCCGGAAGATGGTGGCTGTTTATCTCCCAGACCGACATCTGCAGCGACATCCAGGGGCCAAAGAGGAGAGAATGCAGGAGCGCCTGGGTGACTTAAAAACGCCACGTCCCTCTTGTGAGGTGACCTGCTGGCACCCTGTGGCAGAGGGTGCCAGCTCTCTGGTCGCTGGATGCCATACGCTGCCAACACTTGAAGATTTGTTTGTGCGACGGATCCCGAAGCGGTACTCCAGGCAAACTGCCCGGTGGTTTTCCTGCAGATGGATTAGGTCAGTTGAGTAGCTGGAGTGGGGAGAGGTGGTCTTTTTTGTTGTTTTTTTTTAAGTTACCAGGTCGGTCAGCTGATTTGTCATTTTCCAGAGAGTACTACAAGAGGCCCTTCCCTCTACAGGCTGGGGGAATGGAGTGCCTGGGACACAGAGACTTTCACTGAGCTCGGCTCCGCTGTCCTCATGTTTTTCTTCTCCCGCACCAAGCAGCCTGAAACGTTAGCCCCTGTCTTTTATAAAGCATGACCAATGTTTCTCCTATTTGCACTATGTCCCAACAAGACAGTTTTGGGTGGACTTTGATGTTGTTCAAACGCTTTGTCTCCTCTTTCTTTTGTTCCCCTCCAGTCACCTTGAGATCTGGCCGGCGTTGACTGGGAGGCTGTCTGTCTGCACCTCACTGCTCCCTCTGTCCCCTGCCTGCTTTTGGCTGTCACCTCCCTGTGGGCTCCTTCCACGCCCCTGGAGTGACAAAGCAAGGGCAGTTTGGAGCTCGACCTTACGCTGTCCCCATGATTTCTAGGAATAGAGGAAGGGTGAGGGGGAATCAGCTTTTACTTCCACCCATATTTTCCAATCCCTTCGCATCTAGAGGAACAGACCCCTCTGCACTCCTGCTTCCCAGTACCTCAGGTGGGCTGGGGGAACTGCACCTACAGGTGCCTACAACTCCCCCCATCCTTTGCATCCAGCTGCCGTTTCTGTAAAACCCCAGTTCCTGCCGGGAGAGGCTGGGGAGCAGGGGAGGTGAAGGAGATGACAAATGAGTTTTTGCTCTGTTTTGGGAAGCGCTCTTTCACAGAATCACAGAATGGTTGGAGTTGGATGGGACCTTAGAGATCATCGAGCTCCAACCCCCTGCCACGGGCAGGGACACCTCCCACCAGACCAGGTTGCTCAAAGCCCCATCCAGCCTGGCCTTGGACACCTCCAGGGATGGGGCATCCACAGCTTCTCTGGGCAACCTGTTCCAGTGTCTCACCACCCTCACAGGAAAGAATTTCTTTGGGTGATGCTGGGGAAGCTGCTGCTGCTGGAAGATCTTAACATGTTGGCACACAGCTGGGAAGGGTCCCCTTCTAACTTGGTGTCGGTCCAAGCACCCTCCTGTGGGCTTTGCATCCCCTTGGCCCAGCTCCAAGGCCAGTCTGGGAATGGCACTCGGGGCCCGGAGCTCTCCAGAAGGTGCCACTACTTGCTGCACCCTTGGCACCGTGGGCTTTTTATTTGGGGGTTGTCCAGGGAGGAAGAGAGCCTGTGACCGAGGGGGGGTGAGCACATTCTCCAGGTGTTTCCTCTTCCAGTCTCAGGCTGTATGCCCGCAGTGTACGTGCTGCTTTCGAGTGGGAGTCTCCGGGGCTCTCACCCACGGGCTCTGCGTGTCTCCCGGGGTGGGAGCCGGTGGCTTTCGCCCCGATGAGCCGCGCCATTTTGTAGCCACGCGTGGGAGGGAGCGGGGTCTGCGGGTTGACTCTGGTGCCTTGTCCCCGCCGGCGGGTTGCGGGGCTGCGTCCTTCCAGCGCCGCTCCCAGCAGCGGGCGGAGCGGGGGCTGCCCTCGGCCCGGCCACGGCCGAGCGGGACGGGACGGGGCCCGCCCCACGTGCGGAGGGCGCGCCACGCCGCGGGCCGCGCTGCGGAGCCGCCGCCAATCAGCGCGCAGGGCTCGCCCCGCGTGACACAGCACGCTGACCCCCACGGCGGGCCGGTGGGAAGCGGCTTGAAGGACGGCCGCAGCGGCCAATCAGAGATCGGCGCCTGGGGGCGGAACCCAATCAGCTGAGGGAGGGGAGGGCCCGTTGCGTCGTTCGCAGGCTTCCTGCAGAGGTGGCCAATCAGCGCGCCGGTGGGTGGGGCGCTAAGCGGAAGTCCTGTCAGGAGTGGGTCACCTCCGGGCCCGGGAAGGTGCGCGGTGGGCGCTGCGGCTCGGGGAGGGGGAGCCCCCGGGGGTTTGGAGTGTCCCGTGGCTGGGGAGCAGCTTCCCCGTGGCGCCGGGGTCCTGCCCTGTGGGGCTGCAAGGGGCAGTCGGGCCCTTGTGGGGCGGAACCCAATCAGCTGAGGGAGGGGAGGGCCCGTTGCGTCGTTCGCAGGCTTCCTGCAGAGGTGGCCAATCAGCGCGCCGGTGGGTGGGGCGCTAAGCGGAAGTCCTGTCAGGAGTGGGTCACCTCCGGGCCCGGGAAGGTGCGCGGTGGGCGCTGCGGCTCGGGGAGGGGGAGCCCCCGGGGGTTTGGAGTGTCCCGTGGCTGGGGAGCAGCTTCCCCGTGGCGCCGGGGTCCTGCCCTGTGGGGCTGCAAGGGGCAGTCGGGCCCTTGTGGCTGGAGGGGGTGGTTCTGCTTTGTGGGGCCCTGTGTGCTTGGGGGGGGGCCCTTCCTCACCGGGTTGGGGGGTTGAGAGGGGAACTCTGTGGTTGGGGGCCCTGTTCCACTAATGGGGGCTGCTTGGATCCTGTGGCTGAAGGAGCCTTGCCTCGTGGTACCAGGCCCTGCCCCGTGGGGTGGGAAGGAACAAGCCGAGGGGGAAGGCTCTGCTCTGTAGGGCACGGGGGAAAGGGTTGACCCTGTGCCTGAGGCAGGGGATACCGCCCCGTGGAATGGAGGCTGTATCTGGGGGAGCCCCATGGCGGGTGGGACCCCCCAGCTGTGGGGCTGAAGCTGCAGTGAGGTGTCAAGGGCTGGGCATAGGGGCAGTAAGCACTCCAGTTGGTGCCCCCTATGTTGCTGCTGAAGCTCTGGGCTTGGGGGCTGCCCTGCTGAGGGCACTTTGCTGCTGTGGGACTGGCTGTGGGGTGCACACACACCTCATACCTTCTCCTCTCCCCACAGATGGCCCAGAGGTTGGTGTTCCGGCGGCTGCTGTCCCTCACCCTCAGGACACTGCCCCTGCAGGGGCAGCGGATGGTCTCTGGCCCCCTGACACCGCGTGTCCCCCTGGCACCCCATGGCAAAGCCTTTGGCACCTCAGCAAGCTGCAGGAACACCTTCAACGTGCAGGATGGCAGTGACTTCCAGGACCGGGTAGTAAACAACCCCAAACCCGTTGTGGTGGACTTCCATGCACAGTAAGTCCCCTTCCATGGCTCTTGTGCCCCTCACTGCTGTTACACATGCAGGTGTGTCCCTGCTGCTTTCCTGACGTGGTGGCACTCTGGGTGCACTGGGGACACGGGTATGCCCAAGGGATTCCAGAGCTGCGGAGTTGTCAACCGCCCTGCCTCAGTTTCTGGTGTTAAAAAGTGCTTCTGACCCTGAGGTGCGATCCATAGAGATTTCACTGCTGTGGGTGTAGCTACACCCTGCAGGAATGTAAAAACAAAAGTGGTAAGAACTTCCCTGGGGCGGCGTAGCTGCACCTCCCAAGTGCCTGGGTGTCACCCTGCTCCAGCGTTGCATCATTGTGCAAAAGGCACATCAAGAAAAAGCTCTGATATCGGCCTTTTTTAGCTTTATGGATTAAATGTTCTTTTACAAACACTAAATGATAGTAACAGCCATGGAAGAACATTTCACTTGGCATACCCCTGCACCATCATATTGTGTTTTTCCAGTTTTCTCACTCTGCATGCTCTCCGGGCTGGGCTTTATATATTAATTTATATATTTATATGCCTTTTATATATTAATTTATATATTAATATGCCTTTATATATTAATAACAGCGGCATGATACCAGTGGTAGCATTTGTCATCGATAAAAAGGTTGTCATCCTCTTGCCAGTAAAAATATTTCTAGATGTTATCTGCTGGATTAACGATACTGATTATCTTTGTTTTCTCAAGTGTTTTCATAGTCCTGCAGTGCTGTCACGTGAACCTGTTGTGGCTGGTTCTGGGCAAACAGAGTATGAAACAGCCTGAAAATGTCTGCTCTAAATAAACCAAGCTGATAAACCCAAATGAACGTTAACTTGGATCATCCAGGGAATAGAGGACAAATAATTGAAAGCCTGAAACCTGATACGGGGGGAGGAGGACAAAAGTTTACCAGAGCTTAAATTTTAAAAGAAAAGGGCACATAGAGCTTTAACTCCTGTTTTCCTTGAATTGAGTACATTCATGCCATCCCAGCTGGTGCAGATAGAGGATGCAGGGAGTGTTTGCTGTGTACAGGGCCTCACAAACTCTGCTGTTGGCTGCACCTGCATTTGGAATTGGTAGTCTCTTTTTGAACAGATGCGATGGCTCTGAGTTTTGCAGCTAAAGGGGAATATCTGTAAACCCTGTGCTGAGTGCAGAGGGGAAGTCTTCGTTCTGATGATTGGCATAAACTGATTTGAGTGTGGGCTGTGACCCCCGCACCCAGTGGCGACACTTGCTCTGTGGCAGCTTTGCAGTCAGTGAGATCCCAGCTCTGTGTGTACTCACCAACGAGGACACAAAGCAGTGTTGGGATGAATGGCTGAGAAGAGGGGGCAGGAGCACCACCAAAGCTGGCAGAACAGACTGTAGTGTGATTGAAATGACATCAAAAGGACCATCAATGCTGAATGGTGTCCTCTTCTTCCACTCAGCCCCACCACCACACACACAGAGGAAAAAAAAATCCTTGACAGCTTCTTTGCGAAAGAAACTTTTTTCTAAGCTGTGGTTCAGGAATGGTGTCTCCAGGCTGGCTCTCAAATGGAACGGTGATGGCAGTAAAGGCAGTGGTGTACCAGCAAGAATTCCGTGGCCGCTGCTGCACTTGCTTCCTCTAAAGTTCCATCTCTTCTTTCTCCAACAGGTGGTGCGGCCCCTGCAAGATCCTAGGCCCCAGGTTAGAGAAGATGGTGGCCAAGCAGGAGGGGAAGGTGCTGATGGCCAAAGTGGACATCGACGATCACACAGACCTTGCTATTGAGTACGAGGTAGGAGGCAGAAGAGCGTGGGCTTTCCTTTGCTGACAGTGCGTAGAAGGTGCCTCCCTGGGGAGAGGTGTGCCCCCGCGGCAGCAGCATTGATGGGGAGGGGAATCATAGAATCATAGAATCATTCAGGTTGGAAGAGACCCTTGGGATCATCGAGTCCAACCATCTACCCTACTCTACAAAGTCCTCCCCTACACCATGTCCCTTAGCACTGCATCTAAACGTCCCTTAAATACATCCAGGGATGGTGACTCCACCACCTCCCTGGGCAGCCTATTCCAATGCCCTATCACTCTTCCGGTGAAAAATTCTTTCCTAATGTTCAGTCTAAACCTGCCCTGTTGGAGCTTGAAGCCATTGAAGCCACCGGGAAGCCCGGTGCCTGCAGGTTCCTAATCCCTCAGGTCACTCATTACTAGGTGGATTTCACTGCTTGGCTCTCCTCCAGCTCTTCTTGTGTTCAGCATCACCACCTCTAATTCTGCAGAAAGGTGTCCTTTAACCCTTGCAGGCATTTATCAATGTAAATGCTTACCTTCCCTTGAGGAGCCTGCAGCGTACGCAGCGTTCTACGGCGTGCATGGGCTGCTCAGGTGCAGGGCAGGAACGTGAAGTAACAAGCCCCAAGTTTATTCTGCCCTTGGATGCCGTTCTTCGTGCAGCCAGCCTGTCCTCTTTCCCTTCTTTGTTCAGGATTTCTTGCTGGGTGATAAAGTCCTGTCTTTAAGCCACAGTGCAAGGAGACACCATGGGTTTTGTCTGGACAGGTGGGAGCCAGGTTGGAGAACACACATAGGCAATGGGAACGTGCCTCCTGCTCTTGGTAAGCACAGACCTTGGTGCTTACACCAGTGTTTTCACACGCCAGTTGCGTGTGTTCCCCGTGCTGCCTTGCTCCCAGGAAGAAGCTGAGTGACTGGAGAAGACCACAGCCTTGGCTTACATGATTTATTTATCTTTTCCCTGTGTCAGTGATTAAGTAGTTTAAGAAGCCCAAAAAATTCCTCTGACAACTGTGGTCACCCCCGTTGTCTCTCCTTGTAAACAACAACATGGTCTGTGGAGCCGGGGCATCCTGCTGTCGGGTTGTACAGGGAAGAAAGTACTTAATTTTCACTTGAGTGTCACGCAGATGGAGCTGCTCCCCTTCCACAGATGAAGTCCTGCTCCCAGGGCGGAGGCTAGCACAGGAAGCTCCTCAAGTTGCCCAGCCAACTCCTGTGAGCCATCTCCTGAGCAAGCTGTTGGTTTATTGAGCCTGGAGGAGACGCTCTGTGCTGTTCCCACACCCTGCCAAGCCGGAAGGAGAAGGAAGTGGAAACTGCTTGTTCCCTCCCACTCTTTCCCAAAGAGGCCTTGCTGCCTGTGCTGCGGTGGCGTGTCCACCCAGCTGGTGCCCACAAACATGACTTGCAGCTTCCACAAGCTGAGCACGAGAGCCTCCAGCGCTCTCTTTGATGGTGGCACGCCCCAGGCCGAGGAGGGTGGCTGCTGGCTCGTGAGCAGGGCTGTGTGTTCCAAGCCCAAGGGCTGCGTCGCTTGAGGGTGCTGGTGAGAAGAAGTCGAAGAGGGTGAGGTTGTTTCTGCGGCAGTCGGAAAGTGCATAAATCATAATAGGTGCAGGCAAGGCTCTGGTAGCACCCACCCCAAGGAGAAGAGAATAGAGATGATTATTTTCGAGTAACATGGTCTAATGGAAGGTGTCCCTGCCCATGGCAGCGGGGCTGGAACTAGATGATCTTTTAAGATCCCTTCCAAACCAAAGCATTCTATGATTCTTTGATTCTATGATTATTAGCTTAACTCTTGTATTGTTCCAAGCCTTCCAGTAGATCGAATTAGCTGGGATTACAAGAGGATAATCTCAGATGACTGGAAAACGGCAAACGGTATGTGCATATGAAGAAAGGTCTTCAAAAAGAGGCCAAAAGCTCCCAAGTTGTGCAGGTTTGATGGCACGCTGCACGTGCTCTCCCACCAGGTGGTGAGTGAGCAGCTGCACAGCCTGCTGAATGCATGCGTTTGTCTGCAGGGGCTGCCTGTCTTGCAGCCCTGCTGGGCATGGGTTCAGGCAGGATTGAGCCTGCTGGCGAGGGCCAGCTTCCAGCAATTCATTCTGGAGCCTTCTATGCAAACAAAGTTTTTGGTTTGCAGGAGGGCCTGGGGATCGTTGCTTCACTCTTTGAGTGATGCAAATGGGTTGTGACCGTTATCCCCGTGGCTAAAACCCCATGGCTAGGCAGTGTCTGTGAGTAGGGTAGGGGTAAAGGAGAAATTTTTGCTTTGATCCTCATAGTTTGGGGCACCCTTTTCAAGGCAGAAGTTTGGTTTGTGTGCTGAGCACACACTTGGTTTTGCTTCATCTTCTGGGAAGTTGCCACTTCAGGAGATGCGAGCGTAAGGGCTGATGGGAAGACATCAAGTCAAGATCAAAGAGGGACCAAAGGTAGCATTTGGGAAAGACCAGGAAAACCAAAGGTGGTATTTGGGAGGGATCAGGAAAGATTTTTTTTTTTTTTAAAGCCATTCCACCGGGGATCAGATGGCTGCAGGCTGAGAAAGTTTTTGTTTCAGGGGGTTTTGGCATCTGTGCCACCCCCCAACAACGCCTCCACTAGATGCCAAGAAGTCTCCTTCCATCCGTATTTATTCCCCTGCCCACGCACGCTTGTCGCCGGCTTGCACAACATCCTCCTCAGGCGCCGGGGGCAGGGGGGAGGCAGAGTGAGGGGGAGAGACCCCCTGGAAGAGCTGAGGAATGCCGGCGCATTCCTTCACACGCGCCGCTGTCTGCCCTTGGCTCCTGGCCCTCCCAGTTTAGCATGAAGTGGGGACGCGTTTCCTGCAACTGGAAATGTCCCCAGCGCCCTTCCCCATCCGGTTATGCCCAACACAAAAGTTCTTTCTCTGGAGATTCCTCCTTTTATCTAACACCTTTCATCTCTGGTTGTGGCCTTTTGCCGCTGCTCCAGCCCGCTCCTGACCTCTTGCCCTGGGAGCAGAAAGGGAGAAGCAATACTTTTGTTTAATCTGCCATCTTTTAAAATTCTTTAGATTCATCTCTTGCCTTGGCCCGTTGCCTGCGCACATGGCCACTGGGAAAGGGCAGCCCCTTCTCCGGCCGCTGCGGGTGGGCAGCCCTGGAGAGCTGCTGGATACAGGGCTGGTCCTTCAGCAGCAGAGCTTGGTCCTGTGTTACGCCTCGTTCCGAAGCTGGGGTGAGATCCATCCCCCTGCTCCGTTCTGTGGCAGCCGAGCTTGTGTACAAACCCCAGTTTCAGATTTCACTGAATTTTTAGAGTTGGAAGGGACCATAGAGATCATCTAGTCCAACTCCCCTGCTAAGGCAGGACCACCCAGAGCTTGTCAGAGCATGTTACTCAGGACTGCATCCAGGCGGGGCTTGAAAATCTCCAAAGAAGGGGACTCCATAATCTCCCTGGGCAGCCTGTTCCAGGGCTCCATCACCCTCACGGAGGGGTTTCTCCTCATATTTGAGTGGAACCTCTTATGTTCCAGCTTGTGCCCATTGCCCCTCGTCCTCTCACTGGCAACTACTGAAAAGAGTCTGGTTCCCTCCTTCCTCAGCCTGCCCTTGAGATACTTGTAGGCATTGATAAGGTCTCTCCTCAGCCTTCTCTTCTCCAGACTAAAGAGTCCCAGCTCTTTCAGCCTCTCCTCATAAGGGAGATGCTCCAGTCCTTGAATCATCTTTGTAGCCCTTCACTGGACTCTTTCCAGTAGTTCCCTGTCCCTCTTGAACTGGGGAGCCCAGAACTGGACGCAGTATTCCAGTTGTGGTCTCACCAGTGCAGAGTAGAGGGGCAGAATGACCTCCCTTGACCTGCTGGCCACACTCTTCCCTATGCAGCCGAGGATTCCATTGGCCCTCCTGGCCACAAGAGCACACTGTTTGCTCATTGTCATTTTGTTGTCCACCAGGACCCCCAGATCCTTTTCTTCAGAGCTGGGATGGGAGAGAATTTCCTCGGTACGGGTACTGCCAGGAATAGCGTGGATGGCCACGTTTGTTTATTTATCTGTGGTCAGTGCTGATCAAAAGCAGCCTGACTTTTTCTCTATAAATGCTTTTGAGGGAGGAGGAGGGTTTGTTTAGGTTCAGTGCAGATGGGACCCAAAAAAAAAAAGGGAGGAGAAAAAAAAAAAAAGACCCGTAACTTTGCCTTCTAGAAATTCCCATGACTTCTCAAGCAGTGAAACAAAGCACGTGCTGTGCTGAAGGGCTGCCCTTGCTGCAGCGAGCAGGAAGGCAGCTCTCAAAAGCATCGTGTTTTCTGGGCAGAGGCAAGTTCCTCAGTGCCCCTGGTGCTCACCCTGCCAGCCCTGGACCCGCCACCCGTTCTTGGGGTTTGCTCACCGCTGCAAAAGAAAAAAAAAAAAAGACCCGTAACTTTGCCTTCTAGAAATTCCCATGACTTCTCAAGCAGTGAAACAAAGCACGTGCTGTGCTGAAGGGCTGCCCTTGCTGCAGCGAGCAGGAAGGCAGCTCTCAAAAGCATCGTGTTTTCTGGGCAGAGGCAAGTTCCTCAGTGCCCCTGGTGCTCACCCTGCCAGCCCTGGACCCGCCACCCGTTCTTGGGGTTTGCTCAGCACTGTAGAAAAGCAATGAAATGGAGGGATTGAGGCTGCATGAAGCACATCGAGAGCCCTGAGACTTGGTTTTATTGTCTGCTCCTCTGTAGTGCTTTGAAGAGTCGACCTTTTCTTTCCTGGCCCATAATGGCCTGACGCCAGCTGGTGCTGGTTGGGCAGGCTGGTTTTTTTGGATGGAGCTGGGGTAACTCTGCTCGTTATTAACCCACTCTGAAAACTAAAGGGAGGCTCAGCAGAGCTTTGCCCTTCTGGAGGAGGGAGAGAGGAGTGGAGCTCCCACCAGTCACTAGGAGGAGCTGAAGATCGAGCGTTGCAGCAGCCCCGGCGCTCCCGTCCCTTCGGATGAGGCTGCAGAAGCCCTGGAGGACAGACAGACTGCGGGGAGCCACGCCGGACTGGCCGGCCAGGACCAGGCGGGAAGGGAAGCACAAACTGTCCCTTTCATCTCGGGCTCCCGATGGGAGAAAAGCCAGCCCTCTGGCGAGTTTCCCGGGAAAGGATTTGCAGATCCTGGCTGGCAGCGCAGGCGGGAAGGCCCCGCAGGCTGGCGGGGAGGCAGCAGGCGAGGAGGACAGGACATGTTTCGGGGAGGAGGCTTTGCAGAGATAAAAGGTGCCGAAGCTGTGCTCTCAGAAACACCACCAGATCTCTCCCCAGCCACAGCTCTCCCAGCTCTTGTTGCTCCTTCTCCCGATCATTGTCCCCAAGATCTCTTCTGCCACCGGTCAGCCAGCAAGCCCCTGGGGAGCGTTGTCATTTCCACTGCTGTTTTCTGGATAATTCCCAGAAAACTTTGTTCTGAGCTAAAAAAAAAAAGCAGCGCTCACAGCTGCCTGCTGGCTCCGGTCGGAGGGACTTTTCACTCCTTACTTAATGGTTAGGGATCTGCAGTGGACAGCCAGCTAAATCACTGAAAACAGGAGCAGAAAAGGAAAGATGGGCTGGAGGGGGTTGCCATTACTGTGGTAGGATGGAGCAGGAAATCTGCTTGTGCAGTGATGGGGTGGAACCTTTCTCCAGCTCCAGTCTTGCCTGGAGAAGAACACCGGTCCAGTTTCGTACCACCCTGCCCATAAAATGTCCAAAGGTCACTGTGCCTGAGAGGTGTCCTGATAAAAAACTGGGTTTGTTTGCTTATGATAGGAAAAAAGAGAAGGAGAAGAGGAATTTGTACTGGAGGGAGGGGAAAAAGCTTTACCTGTTTGTTTTATATTAGCTTTGGGGTTGTCTTTAAAATTTTGGGTCTTACTTAAACTGGAAAAGCTGCTCAGCCTTGACTTAAGCAGGGCAATATCAATATAAGTCAGTGCAGAGGTGAGGCCAAAGGAAAAGGAGGAACGTGAAGCTTTGTTGGCCTGTGTTTTGCAAGCGGACGTGCTACCCTTGAGCAGTGTGTGCTCAGCTCCTCTGTAGCCACTTCTTCTGTTGAGCTCCACCTGGGGCCCGGGTGCAGCTGGGCTCCCCACAGCCTCCCCTCACCTCTGTCTCCCTGTTTCTCTTGCCCCCAGGTGTCAGCGGTGCCAACCGTGCTGGCGATGAAGAACGGGGATGTCGTGGATAAGTTCGTGGGGATAAAGGATGAGGATCAGCTGGAGGCATTCCTCAAGAAACTCATCGGAGCCTGAAGTGAAAGAGTGGCTGTACCTCTGCCTCTGGACACGTCCACGCTGTGCATTCCTTGCCTGGGAGAGCTGAGGGGCACGAGAACTGCCTGCCTTGCACAACCTGGGGTTTTTTTCCTGGTTTGGGTTGGGTTTTTTTTTTTGAGATGGACAGTGTTGTAACCCTTTCCTCCCACTCCCCCTTCTCTCAAGCAGCAGTAGTTGTAAAATGTGCTGAGGAGCAGGGCTGCTTATTCTCAAAATGGGGAATGCAGCTGGAATTAGGAGCCTGTGTTTATCAGCAAAGAGCTGACGTGCAGAGCTGCTGCTGCTGCTGAGTTAAGAGGAGGAATGTTTTTCTCTTTGCCTAGCATCTGATAGCACAGAGCAGAGGGCAGCTGCTCCCTGCAAGATGTGGGTACATACCTGCCCTGGGTGGGTTTGTTTAAAGCTGAGAATGCCTCTGCCTTGTCTGTGAAACCTGTCTCTTTGTCCTTCTGTCCACGTGTCGCTGAGACGGGTACCACTCCTGCACAAATCTATGGGCTCCCATCAGAATTTTATAAGAGAAAATAGAAGTATTTTATGGATCTCCTTTTGTAGGTCTGTAATAAAGAGAACTTTATTGGTCACTGCTCTCTAGCTGGAGAATAAAACTTGATTCTCAGAAACCACAGGGAAGTCCCTTGTCTGTCCAGAGAGGTGAGAGGGAGCACCAGCAGCACAGTGGCTGGTTTCTAATGACAGGTTGGGAGAGCGCAGGCTACAGCTCGATGCTACTGAAAAGTAATGTGCTGAAAACCAAACAAGTGGATTACTTCCATGGGGCTTTCGGTGCTGCTTCCAAGACCCGCTGTGGGTGCTGCTGGATCTGGGATGCCAGAAGGACTCCCTGCCTCTACACAGAGGAGCCTGAGCTCTGCTCACCACCCCCATGCTTTTCTCACTCCTTTCCTGCCCGAGGAGCCTGAGAGCCTCTCTCTCCCTTGCGTGAATGATTAAATCTGCTCACACAGGTGAGCCCTGCCAAAAGGCAGTCCTCTGACTTCAATTGCCCTGACCTTTAGACTAAGGGAGGCAGTTGCCTGCCCGTATGGCAAGCAGCCCTCAGCCCTTCCCAATCTCTTTCTCCTCCTCCCTATATACACCTGTTTCTAGTCAACCTGGCTTCTAAGTGCTCCTGGCCTCCTCGTGTGCTTGTAGGCAGAGCACAGCACCAGGGCCGGTGCCTGCTGTAACACTTAATTCCAGTTTGCTTATCTAAGCTGCATGAGAACATTGTAAGTGCTTAATAACCATGTACAAGCTGCTGGCCTTTTATTTTTTTCACCTTCCCAGCTTCTGTTCCATTCAATCACTCTTAACTCTGCTTTGGATCTGCTCCATTTCACCTCCCTGGCATAAGTTGTTACGAGCGGCGAGGCAAAGGGGTTTTTTTTTCTGCACCTTTGCAATAAAGATTTATGAGCTTTGAAGGAGCAGGGGAGTGGCGATGCAAGTCCTGCTGCAGCTGCGAGTGCTGTTCCCACCTGCTTCCATCACCCCGGGGCCTGGGCAACACCATGAGATGGTGCTGGGTCCCCTGAGATGGGTACCTCCCCGTCCGGGCTGGGCTGATCTGGCCACCGGCAGGCGGCTAGAGGTGATGTCACTTGGATGTAATGTGGTAAAGAACTGTTGGTCAGTTACAATCAGTACAAAAAAAAAAAAAAAAACCACGACATTTTATTTTATTTGGGAGACCACAGAAGTTACACGCCTCACATCCTGCTCAGGTTTCAGGCCGGGCAATCTGCCCCGCAGTTCTGGTGTTCCTGCTCTGTAAACACTGCTAGTAAGGACTGTCTCCATTTTCCTGCATGCGCAGGAAAAGTAGGGGAACAGCGTCACGTACCCGACAATAGTCCACTTTCATGCTTCACCATCCTACAGAACAGGAAAAAACACAGTGACTTTGCATTGTGTAATTAAGGGGCAGTATAAATTAGCTATTTTATCACTTCCTTCTAAGGAAAAGTGGAGCTAAGGTACCATTCAGCTATTAAAGCGCCAGCATGCTTTGGGGTGCCTTATGTGAAAGGCACAAATGTTTCTTTGAGATAAATGGTGAAACCCCACATAAGGTACCATTCAGCTATTAAAGCGCCAGCTTTAGGGTGCCTTATGTGAAAGCCACAAATCTTTGAGATAAATGGTGAAACCCCCCACACAGGTGCCCTGTGGAAATCCTTCAGAAAGAGCACCATGGGTGGAGAGAAGGAGAGGTTTGAGGGCACCCTGAGATTCCCCAAGTGCTTTGCACAGTTTTCAGGCACACACAGGTGCCCTGTGGAAATCCTTCAGAAAGAGCACCATGGGTGGAGAGAAGGAGAGGTTTGGGGGCACCCTGAGATTCCTCAAGCCCTTTGCACAGTTTTCAGCGCAGGACAGGCCTCACAGCTCAAGGGTGTTTTCCTGTGGCAGGATCTTAATTCAGCTCCCTGTTTGCCGACTGCTGGGAGAGGCTTCGGGGCTCCCCCAGCTGCTGGTAATAACAGAGGAGGTGCAAGCGGGAAGCACTTACCAGCAGAGTATTTACGTAGCAGTTAAAAGAAGGGCTGCACAGCAATTTTTCATGCCACCTGAACGTGATGTTGATCTTTCTGGAGAGAAGACAGCTGAAGCCATAGGTAATTCCTCAGCAGTAGCTGTTTTTAACATGGCAACTGGGAAAACATTTCCTCTCTGCTCGCTCCAGCAAGGATGCAGTTGGTCTTCCCTTTCAGAGTTAAAATAGACCGAGTGCTCCTCTGGGCTGTTAAGGATTTGCTCTCTCCCACCCAAACCTGCCCAAATTACAGCAACTTCCTCAGCTTCTCATGGTCCTGGTTGCTATTTTAAGAGGACGCAGCAGTCAGTGCCTTCCCAAGCTGAGCTAAACCCACTTCTCCCTCCCCAGGTACTTTTTGAACCCAACACCAAGATCCAACCCCCCTCAAAAGTCAGGCATGGTGCTCTGTCCTCACTGTCTTGCCCAAGACCCCTGATCCCAGGTAAGTGGAGGTTTTCCATTTGTTTCTGTTGGCTTTACACTTGCAGCTGCTCCTTTCCCCGAGATGTTTGTGTCTGCCTGCTAAACTCCATCTTAACCTCCACCTGCTCCGTGCGGAGGGTGACAGAGCACTGGAACAGGCTGCCCAGAGAGGTTGTGGAGTCTCCTTCTCCAGAGACATCCAAAAACCACCTGGATGTGTTCCTGTCCTTCCTGCTCTAGGTGAAGCTGCTTTGGCAGAGGGGTTGGACTAGATGGTCTCTGAAGGTCCCTTCCAATCCCTGCCACCCTGTGATTCTGTGCCATGGCAAATGCCTGCAAGGAGGGAGAGTGAAGGTCCCTTCCAACCCCTGCCACCCTGTGATTCTGTGCCACGGCAAATGCCTGCAAGGAGGAAGAGCGGTGCTACCTTCTCTGCTAGGGGTGCTACGCCCAGAGCAGCTTCAAGTACTGGTGGAGGATGGAAAATTCAGGTTGCCTAGTTTGCAGCACACAGGGGGTTGTGTACATGTGGTCCCCTACAGCTCTGAAGGGGACAGCTTTGGCCATGTTTGCCTCCAATCAGGTCTGGCCTCAGCAGCCCAGCCACCCAGCACTGACAGTAAATCCTTTGTTTTATCAACATATTATATGATTCCTCCTGTCCAAAGAACAAAACAAAGACTAGCTCCATGTCAACAGGGAAACAAATGCCACTAACAGGCAGGGCAGGGCCCTCTGCCCTAAACAGTTTGTTCATCACTTTGAGCTTTCCCCCCTCTCTTTTTTCCAACTAAGTAATTATAGGATTCAGGCAGAATTGGCAATTAAATTCTCCAGCCCAGTGAAGCTGTTAGCAGCAATGTTAAGCTCAGTGTTGTTCAAAAGCACTGCTGAATTGCGTTAAGTGCTCACTGTGAGTTTCAGTTTCCTGCATGTTAAAGAACAGCTTGTAGTGCTGCAATATCGGAGCAATAAAAAGATAAAACTCCTGTAGGATTGACTTCCAGAGCAAAACAAAACTAGATCACCTGTTATACAGCCCTGTCCTCGTTACCTGCCCCTGCAACCCACCCAGGCTCAAGTCCATCACCACACCACCTTCTCAAGGACACAGGGTGCACAGGTGAGCTTCGTGGTTTCTCTGCCTCTGCAGCGTTGTCACTTCACCAACACTTTCCCTCTTAAATCCTCTTTCAAGCAAACACCCGAGGCTGCAACTTGTGGCGAGAGTGGTGGCCGTAGGCTGGGCTGCTGGGCCTGGTTGCTTTTTGCCTTAACATGCATCCAGGGAAGGATGGAGGCAGGAGCAGCAGAGGAACCCCAAAATTTCTTACATCCAGAGGAGCCAAATGGTGGAAACTGGAGAGCTTGAAATTGTGGCACCCCACACCCCAGTGGGGATAGAGCGAGGAGAAACCCTGCGGCTGCCTTGCTGGTGGCAAGAGGTCCCTGCTGGGCAGTGAGATGGGGAGGTTGGTCCTGGGAGGAGAGGCCAGAGGGGTTTGCTGGAGCTGCTCAGTCCTGTGGGTGGAGGAGAGCTGGCAGCTGCGGGCAATAGGGCAGCACCCAACCTCCCGCCTGCCCACGTCAACTTCCAGGCCCTCATAATCCAAACAGTCACGATAAAAATGCATTCAAATTGACTGTGTTTCCTCCACGGCCTGCAGCTTCTGTGAAGCAGTGTTCCTGCACACACACACATATACACATACACATGTGTTTATCCACTCACATACTCTTGTTCTCTCTTGTGGAGAGTGCCAGGAGCTTCTGGGTCTCACAGATGTCCCCAGCAGCTGCAGCTGGTGATGGAAGAGGACAGGAGCCAGTCTGCTTGCTCTCCCACTCAGGGGAAGGCCGAGCTCCTGGTACCTTCCTCAGCACACGCTACTCATCCCGCTGCTGCTGAAGGCTCCATCGCTCCTACGAGCAGAGGAGCGGTTGAGCAATACTGAAAAACAGGAAATTTTTGCAGCGAGAGTCCCCAGAAACATCCACTTCAAGTTGTCCAGAGGGTAGAAAATGCACCAGAGATTTCAGTGCTTTCCAGAGACGATGGTGACCTCCGGGCCACCCACCCGTGTGGCTGCAGCTCCTCCACGCCAGCCCCACACAGCTGGCAGCGTGAGGGTGTTTGTCCCGGCCGGCTCTGTGCCCGTGGCTTCATCGCCTTGGGGAGGGAGAGGAGCTGCATCCCCTGAGGTCGCTTCCTTGGGAGAGGAGCTGCATCCCCTGAGGTCGCTTCCTTGCTCCATCAAGAGGCAATAAACCTGGGACAGCGTGGCTCCTGCCCTCGCCGGTGGCTTTGACCGCAGGGTCTGGCTGTGATGGAGCCGGAGCCCCGTACTGCATGCAAGCTCCAGCACGCCCATTGGTATTTATATAACATCGTTTTGCTTTAATCTGGCTTTTGAGTAAATTGTCAAAGCCCTTTCTGTTCACCAGGAACCTTTTTCTTTTCTTTCCTTTTCTTTTTTTTTTTTTTGACTGCAAGTTTCATGTTTCAAAGCTCGGTTAGTTTTGAGTGATGCTGAAAAACCCCATTTGCAATGGGTTTGTTTTTTTTTTTTTTTTTTTTTTAGTTCCGTGCCGGTATTGTTCAGGCAGAAGTGGTTGTTTTCTTTTCGTCCTGGCATAGCTCAAGAGTGACTGCATAGT